GGGGATGACGATGACGATAAAAGTTCCCAATATCAAACTCACAAGGAGGACAGCTCGTGAGGTCAGTTCAAGTCCTACCTATCTTATCCTTCTATATCAGTTGATCCACTTTACTCACGATAACAGGCCAAATGTTTATCTCGTCCACACCTCTTCATCCGTCTTCCTCATCAACTAGCCTGTCTTACCTGTCTCAGGTCAGGCGTAGGTTACTTCATCTCCCTCCCTCCACCCATTCAAATTTTCCAACTCAAGAAACGTGTTAGGCGATCTTGTAAAGATCACGTCTCGACCGAACCCGTCCCCGTCAACAAGGGAGGCAGACCAAAAGTTAAGATGGCATGTGAGATGTGTTTTGGAAAGTTGTGTTTGATCAAACTCCCTTTCCACCGGGGAAAAGAACAAGACGGACCATTCTCGTCCTTCATCTCCATGAGGGGAAAGAACAAGACGGACGATTTCACCCAAACGCAACAACAGATCCATCGATTATTCGAATTCACCTTGACTCAAATTTTTTTTAAAAAAAAAGTGTATCAGCGCAATTAAAGCACCAACCATGACTTTGCTATTGCAGATGTATCTCTCACTCCATCGAAATCGAAACCACTAATAATTACAAAGTCGTACCTTTCCCCATCGGAACGGTGAATACTCCTTCCTCCTAGAGCAATGTATAACTCTCCGCGACGAGACCGATCAAGATCGACGTGGAAGCCAGACATGCTTATTCGTTTTGGAATCATGGATCTTAGAGAAGAAAGTTCTGATACACCTTATTGGGCAGTATTTGTTCTATTTCTCAAATCTGAAGCTTTCACCGGATCAATACGGATTCACCCATCCACGTCCACGTCCACGTCCACGTCCACATCCACTTCCATATCCACGTCCAGTTCAGATTCATTTCGCTTTGTGGTCATTACCGATTATCCCTCCACTCGCCGATCTTTACACACGATGGGAACATATCAACTAGGAGTCTTAGGAGATTGGTTGAGGGTAGAAAGCATACGGTGTGAAAAATCGGGGTAAAGGTTTGAACTTTGAGATTTATACTGAACCTGAATGATTGTGGAATGTGAGTTTGTTCGTATTTTACTCTTTTTCTTCATATCTACTCCCATACAATCATACCATTCCCGACCGGACAAAGGGGGGGGGGGGGGGGGGGACTTTTTCACCCTATCCATATAAAAGTTGATCGAAAGAAATGCATAAACATAAACACTACACCGACATGATTTTGAGTCTTTATCGTTTATCGTGGGTTATGGAGCACAGAATACTACGATCTATGTCATTTGAATTGGGATTCAGGATTAATACCGTTTATCATGCTGACCACCTTCTAGTCACCTGGTCCTGGTATGAACACTCTCGCTATACTCTACATCTACACTCTATTGATCAAACCTTCACAAACCACTTTACCTTTCACCACCCCATGCACGATCTCCCAAACTTCAACTCTACAGGATGATCATGTTACCTCTTCTCCCCGTTATGATACCCGTTGGAACATGAAATTGGAACGAATAACCACGACTCAGCTAGATGAATGGGCAGAAGAACTGGCTAAAGAGTTGGAAGGAATCATCACTTGGATTTAGAGAATGTGACAACGTTTCGGATGTCATGAACGAGTCAGACACCATGACCTAGAGAAGGAGTAGATGGGTTTAGAGATAAATCATTTCCATACGATCCATACGATCCCTCGATCCATCGATCCATCGATCCATCGATCCATCGATCCATCATGATCATGACCAATATCCATCTCGACCTATCTCCTCTTCGTGGTAAGATCACAACATGCAAAACAGCGCTCTACTAGCGTCAAAGGCACATGACAAATAATATCAAATGTCCTCGTATCCCATCCACAACCCAGAGTAGATCGCTATTACCATCAACATGATCATTTTGGTGATCCTACACCGCATTCATTTGATCCGATCATGATCATTTGGGCAACCCGAACTCCCGAACACATAAGATTCGTCGTAGATCCGACCACCGGTTGATAAGAATCCGATGTACGTTTGTAGAGAGCGCTCTTGTTTTGCCGCTTGGACAATTGGGGCGTCTCACTAGATACCCAAGTGAGGGATACGGGGTAATTTCATTTCCCGCATTATCGACGATTGGGACGGGTTGGGTATTTTTTTATATCCCATAGCGCTCTACAACGATGAGAAACCATTTGAGGTCAAAGGATTATTTGTTATTTGGATAAATGGAGGATTGTATCTGTCATCTTTTCCTATTACCCCCAGAATTCTCTTATCGTCTATCCTCCCAAGAATTCTTCTATCGGTTATTCCCACTGCCCCAAGAAGAACAACAAGGAATGGAAAGGACATACAGCAGACAGATCAACGTAGAGTCATGTTGAATCGGAAAGAAATGGTGAGTTTCAAATTACCAACAACTTGAATCACATCAATCTTTTTCCTTTCTTTTTTCCTCATAGATTAGTCGTTCGGGATGATGGCAAACCTTGGATCTTTTTTCTTCTTTCATAGACTCGTCGTTCGTATGAATGATGTGATCACATTAATCTTCACTTTTTCCTCACAGACTTCATTCGTATGGATGATGACAAGATGGATGTTGAGGAAGAATGAATGAGATCTCTATCACACACTACGAATACTTTAGCTAACTTTACTTTCAAACAGCCCGATACTCCATACCCTCATCATGTACTACTACAAGCATCATCATCATCATCTCCTTCTTCCACCGATTATACCCCTCACACACTTTTTCCACTCTCTATCTCACATACCGATCCAAACGCTTCCAAATCCTTCCAGAGTAAAGTCACTTTCAAAGCCTTCCAGAGTAAAATCCCTCGTCTTGTGACTTTGACTCTTTACCAAAAACTCCAACCTCAACCTCCACTGGGACCTTTGCAACAGATTCCCGTTCAGACACCGGACATGCGTCGTCTGGCCAGGATGGAGAACGACAGATTAGAGATTGGGTTGGAGAGTAGAATTAGAATGTCAGAACAAGAGTTCAGAATGTTGTCTGATTCGATTAAGGTTTTATCAACATCAAGTTTGATCGAAAATGAAATTGGAAGTGGTTTTTCTAACATTTTTATATATATGTATATATGCAAACAATCACAGAACCCAAAAAAAAAACATTCCGGATTTGATTACCACCGATTATGAGATACATATGATGTGTTTTAGAGATATACAGTATCGCGAAGAAATGGAAAGTTTACGATATTTCGCGAGGAAATTGAAAGTCAGGGAAGACCATCGAGATATATGTACAATGGCAGGAGAAGTTACGTTGGGATGTTTAAGACATCATTTGATAGATTAGATATATAAGGTACGACGGATTATCCTGTTAGTTTTTTTTTACATATACTTCACATGTTCTACGCTTCACCTCATTTCCAACACTACACGCTCTTACTTCGCTCTCTCTCTCTTACGGTACGATCAAACCACCTTTCTCTAATTCCCCTTCCGAGCTATCTCGATAATTCACCGTTGTGACCATTCCACCTGCAAAGGACTTATGACCTAGGAGAACACGATACGATACGATTCATCCTAGACATATCCATACGAAAGGATTACCATTACTCCAATTTATGATAGTCGGTTGGATTTAGTTGCGTGCGCACGCATTCTCAGTTTCGGAATCCGAGATCATTCTAATTCTCATTCTCATTCTCATCTCCTAGATCGTCGCTTTCTCAAGTACTATAGTGTTCTTCTGACACTTACCCCTCACCCCCGATTTCCTATGAAGGAATCTATTGTGGCTATGAAGAGTAGTTCTATGTGATATTCAATTCTCTTTTTTCTCCTTTTGCCTCTTCTACTGTGAAGATCAAGAGTCCTCAGTATTGATCACGAGTTACAGTTATCTTTCGTCACTGCGTCTTACAGAGATGGAGATACTGTAGTCCGCTCTTTCATCCTGTGAGAGTTGTAAAGTTGAATGTATATGTATGATTTGTGTAATAGGTCAATCGGTCGTATTATTTCGAATCAGGTAGAAAAGTATCTTGCATCATGTGTCAGACTTAATGACAAATCTTTTATACAAGTTGTACAAGTTTGATCGTCCTTGGGTTTGTCTACATGTCCTGGAGATGAACCCGGGAATCGGTCGTTGGTTGGTTCAGAACAGGAAAAGAAGAGAAGAGGTCAGTTAACTTAGAATTCCATTCAGAGATGATGGGACAAATGTCAAAAAATGAAATTTAGATCTAGGTACTATCTTTTCTCATCATACATGACTTACTTTGAAAACATTGGAATTAACAAAAGGATGAATTTCGTTTTGGTTCACGTAAAATACCGAATCCAACGATGAGAGAATAAATGAGTTAGGGGGATTGATATACATTCATCGTGCGTGTGACTCCACTTGAACATCATCCATCTTACCTCACCGTCCACAGGTTCCTTTCGTGCTCTCCCACCTAGCACTAAAGATAGCTGTTGGTAAATGAGGATAAAATTGGTTTGGTTTAGTAGGTTATCTTACAGGCTCGGTACACTTTTTCTCAAGCGATTTTTGTCCCACAGGATTATATCGCCGAGGTTTTAATAGCAACGGGCATTATGTACGTATTCCCCAGAAGTCAATGAGAAAAGTCGTGAAATAGTGAGAAGCGAAACAAAATGATCCTTGAGACGAGTAGAGACTGTGCGTAATAAAAAGAGCCCAAGTCTACTAGCAGAATGACAATAAAGAAATTAGTGGTGGTGAGGACAGGTTGGTAGGTCTTACCTTATTTTTGGAGAACCATCCTATGGCAGGATATCACAACCTTGTCTCTCTCCTCCGAATGACCAGGAAAAGAAAAGAAAAGCTTATGCATGAAGATTGGTTACTATTTGAACCGGATCGACTCTGACTGTACATAATAGATATGATAAGATAAATCTCCTTCAACCCATCTGAAAACCATTGACCGTTTCTTGTTCTCCCAGACTCCAGTATACTTTCTAACCTCGACCAGACTTGATTCCCAAACTCCCATTCGAACCCGAATCGGTCGAACCGAGTAGATCCCAAAGATGATCACGGTGATACAGATCCGTGGAAGAGGTAGAAGTTGAAGTTGAAGGAGAAGTCAAATTCGAACCGAACCGACCTTTGACCCTATCCCAGACTTCCTTATCGGCCACACGTAACAAAGTATCGTACTGCCATACATCCAGCATTAAAACTTTGGTGTGTTTAGATAGAGGGGGAGTGAGGGAATCAATGAGGTATTGATGATGTTCGGTTGGGGGGAGATATACTGCTTGTCAGCTGCTTTCTGTCTCCATCTCGGGTTCGGTTTCTTTCTTCTTCATTTTATTTTTCTGGTGGGTAGATTAGAGGGTTGATAGGTTTTCTCTGCCAAATGTACATCTAAACGATGAGGGCCATATAAGGGGTAAAGTGATAATGATAACTGGCAATGGGAGGTTCAATTCCAGAGTAGATTCGATATCAACATGAGGAGGAGAACACGATCGAGGTTAAAAACCGAGCAGATGAGATGAAAAGCTTGAAGAGCTCAGACAGCTTAAAGACGGAAAAGGGATAAGGAAAATAAATAAATGAGAAAGGATGATGAAACAAGGGAACTCACATGAAGTAAGTTGTTCACCCATAGGACGACACCATTCAGTATGTGCATCTTGCCATTTCATTTCCGGTGTATCTTTAGATCAGCAATTGCACTCACCGAGCGGGGGGGGGGATTTAGATTTGAACGACATGTATATCCAATGTTCGGAAAAGAACAGAGAATCAGATTGGGTGACGACCAAGTATCAGAGTAAAGTTGCTCAAAAAGGGGTGGAGACCATAATTGATCTATCATTGATATTTCTAATCCGGAGAGAGGGGGCCAAAAAAATGAGTCCGTATGTCTAAATTTGGGCCCAGAGAATGGCAATCGCGCCAAATGTTGGTCGTATGAATGTGTATAGCCTATGTATCGATTGGAATGGGTAATGTGTAATGAGAAAAGACCAACCGTCTGATATAACTCCACCCCCACCCCCATCATCTGGACCTTGATCATGGTCGGAAGAAGAAGAAGAGGAAGAGGTGGAATAATCGCTCATGCTCATTTCATCATCCACAAATGAATCTCCATCATCCTCTTCGTGATCATTACGATTCTCTTCATTATCCTCTTGATCATCCATATGATCCTGGTGTGGTAGTGAACCAGTAGATTCGACGTGGTCTGATGGGTAACCAGAGCGCTGAACGTCTATATCGTAAAAGTCCAGATTGTCGTTGAAGGGATCTTGTCTTGTTCCGTCCCTTCTTGTTCCATCTTCTTGTCTCCCTCCATCGCCACTTGTTCCTGCTCCTGCATCACCTCCTGCTCCTGCTCCACCTGGGTCGCCGCCTGAACCAGCCGTGGTATCGCCGTCTATCTTCCTCTTCAACCCCTTTTCAACTTTTGGGAAAAGAGCAGCGGCTAGGAATTGATCTTGTTCATCGTCAACTTTGGTTTGCAGAGCTGTGTCCGTCCATCCTCTACCCCCTGTGCTTGCCCCTCCTGTTCCCCGACTTGTTCCCACGACAGAGTCATCATGTAACTCATCTCTCCTATCTCGATCAGTGGCATCCACCCTGGACACGTCATCCACCCTCTCCACCCCATCTACCGCCCCACCCAACGTAGGGGTAGGCATAGCATCTACCGCCTGTGCAGCGGTAGCTGTCCAACCACTAACCAACCCTCTCCAAGCCCTCGGCACTTGAATCCTCCCACACTCAACCCCATGTCCCAAAACGACCGTCATGGCATGTCCCAAAAGATCCCAAAGCGGTTGAGCACCATCTTGACTCGGGGTATAGTCTTCGAGGTGAATGGAATGTGGGAACATTTGAATAAGTATATGAGGTGGGAGAGCGAGTAAAGTTGAGAGTTTCAAAGTGAGGATACCTCTCGAGTTATAATTATCGTTATCATTATTTTGATCATAGTGATCATCACATTGACTCTGATCTTGTTGTTCCAACGTGTCATTGTCACTTTGGTTTTGTTGATTCAACATGTCATGATCACTTTGAGTATATCTTCTATCCGTTTCTAGATTCTCTGCATGTGGTTTCAAATTCGGTAAACCCAAATGATCCGAAACGACACGTCGAATAGTCTGATTAGACTCGATGACCAGAACACCTTGATCAAGCATCATCATCCTCATATAAGTCCCTTGGTACATATAAAACGCCATGTAAGTACCAAATGCTTGAAAAGCACTTTTCAGATGAACGATGGTTTGGGGTAGACCTTCGAGTATGTATCGAGGATCATCTTTCCTTTCACCGACTATACTGATGATATGGAGGTTGTCCGAATGATGAGTTTTGCTTTTGGTTTTTTTCCCCTTGGGTGGGTCGTCCGCTTTTTCCTTGTTGGATGAAGGAGAGTCGTCGTCTGTTTTAGGTTTTGTCGGGATGAAAGGATCAACGTTTTCCAATGAACGAATAGATGATCCACTTTTCCCTTTCCTTTTCTTCTTCCCCTTGCCCTTAACTTCGCTCTCGATAACTTGAGATGACGTTCGACTAGGGGATCCGGAGCTAGGTATCACAGAAGTAGATTTAGAAGGCAAGGAAGGATCATAATCCAACCCCGACAGACCGGTGGAATTTGATGCAAGAGGGGTAAACGGTCCGGACCTAGGTAAAGGATTGAGATTGATAGGTATTGAAGACGAGGTTAGATTGCGTTTACTCTGACCGAAATAAATGAAATCCGGTTTGTCAAATCCGTTATGAATCGATTCTGTACGACGGGAAGTTGCGGTGGTCAGGGCGCTGACGGAGGGTGTACTGGGGGTTGGGTCAAGAGGTTGATTTTGGGTTTCTATTTGGTCAGATCTGCTCTTGACCCTCTGAACCTCTGACACGCTGACACGCTGACCGTCTCTAATATCCTCAAGACTCTCTGACTGGTGAGACGTGACCCTTGACCAGTGAGAGGTAAAAGGTTTGGGAGAAGCAAGGGTAAGATAACTAGATCCCTCGACCGGTGAGAGGTTTTATGAGAATCAAAGGCGTCTGCGTCTAGGAGGAGAAAGAGGTTTCAGAAACAAAAAGGGAAAAGATAGGAAAAAGACTAACCTTTACGTACCAAACTACCATGATCATACCTTAACTTTCTTATGTTTCTCTGTATGGCCGTTTGTCCCCATTCAACTCCCCCTTGTAGTTCTTCATCATCATGACCTTGTCCAACCCCACCACCACCACCACCACCACCCCCACCACATCTCCATCGATGTAAATCCGCATCAGTCATCGCCGTAACCTCAACATCCACATCCTTGACCGAAATAAACCTCTTCATCTCCAGAACGATCAAAGCATTGATCAATTTTTCTTCTGCCAACCTCGACACTCTGTGCGCCGCCCTCAACATGTCGCAGATATCATCCAACGATGTGATGGGCCATGAGGAGGGGAACGTCCGGTTGAACTCGATGTACGAGGCGAATGAGTTGGGTATCAGGGACAGGGATGGGTCGGGAGGAATGAGCGAGTGAGGGGTGACGAGTATGGTAGAGGGGGATGATGTAGGTGGTGTGTGTTCGTATCTGTGTGGGTATGAAGGAGGGGTAAAGTCGTCATCATGATTGTTGTCGTTGTCATCGTCAAGGCTGTTCCAGTGATCGTCATACGAGACTTGGTCATTCATTTCATTCGTTTTCTCGACGTCATGCAACGTTTGCAAAGTACTAGTTATCACCGTTCTCCGCTCTGATGCCTGTTTGATCAAAGCCTGCAGCCGGGAGGAGGTATCCGTTGACAAAGGCCAAGAAGAGAACACAAAGTCAAGTCGGTCAAATGGGGTCGTAAAACGTTGAACAGGGTATGAGAATGATACTAGAGACGAGGATAGACCGGTGGTATAGAGAAAAAGCGTAGGCTCGTTAGGGGTTATGAATGAAATGACGATAAATAGGTTGTTGGAGGTGAGCAAAGGTTGGTTGATAGTGAGGAGATGGACGTGGTAGATGAGTATATCATCTATGTAAACAACTACTCCCTTTCCCAACAGCTCTCGGAAACTTTGATTCAGGAAATGCTGGAATACAGCAGGAGCATTTCGCAGACCATCTCGGACAACAAGAGACTCTACCTTTTCTGAGACGGGTTTCCAATGGTCCACTGGAGAAACAATATATGCTGGTGGAGAAGATGTATGAGCCCTACTCGTTTTGTTTTCCGCTTGATTCTTTATCCGGGTTTGTTCACGTACTTGACTTATTACCGTTTCATTTCCCTTTCCAAACTTGAGAAAACGTTGAGACAGGAAAAGTGGGAGGGCAAGTAGAAACACGAGGGGAGGGGGTTAAGTACTAGACTTGTTACCATTTCATTTCCCTTTCCACACTTGAGAAAACGTTGAGATAGGAACGGGGAGAGAAGGGCAAGCAGAAACACGAGGGGAGGGGGTTTAAGTACTTTTGCCAACACACTCCCTCATCTTAACCTATCCAGTCGTCTGAAAGATAAAACAATCGTTCCTCTTTGTGTAAATCACCCTATCCTACTGAGAACGATACACTTTTTCACCCCATCCTACTGAGCACGATACACTTTCTCAGGGTTGTCCATGTTGTCTTGAAGTCCTACACCTCGTTCGAATGACTTGTGAACCAGGGTCGAGGGGTGAAACGATCTGAACCGACGGACAGGTGGTGCATAGAAACCTCGACATGCCATGGTTGTTTCGTTCCTTTGTCGCAGGTCTTTCAGATCCAGTCCACGTCCACGAGGTTTGATTGAACGAGCAAGGAAGGGAGTAAGCTACGAGGTTCAGGTAGGAGGAAGGAGCAAGGAAAGGAAGCAAGCTACGAGGTTCGCGTAGGAGGAAGGAGGGAAGAAGGGGTCGATTCACTTAACTTACCAACGAGGATATATATAATTCTTAGTTTCTTCTTCATCCAATGACCAAAGTCCTCGTGACATCTTCCCACTTTGTTCAAAACATTGACTCGCGGTCGGATCACTCCAACTTGTTGACTGACTGACATTCCGAAACCGAACCGGATCAGCTCAGTCCAGTGATTCCATTTGTCTTTGTACACATATCTACTCCACCTCTTGTCGGGTTCCAACACTACTCCACGTCTTGTCGGGTTTCCAAACACACATGACGGACGAGACGGGACTCGATCCAACACACGTCCATCTCTGGTTCCGGTGGAGATTTCTCTTTGTCATCCGATTCCGATTCCGATTCCGTGTGTGAGATGATATGCAATGTTGCATTCGAAAAACTCGGACCGGACCGTATTCAGTGAGTCCCAACCTCGTCATGTCTTGCGCGATACCCGATACCAACCGATCCCCAGCGTAACAATGATCAAATTTCGAACATTTTGGTCCGTTTCAGCAAGGTGGGTATGTCCGGATGAAATCTTTTTTCCGATGATTCGGTTTTGAAAGAAAAGACAAACATCAACATCACCCGTTTGTCAAATCCCATCCGATCATGACGAAAGGATCCGTCTCTTTCCTCTCTTCCTTCCATATCGCACAGAAGTCATTCTTTCGCTCCCACATCAAAACCACCATCACGCTTCTTCTTCCCGTCCGAAGGCTCCCAGGGTCCGGATCGATTTTCCTCACGCTATATACACCAACAATCATCCAACCAATCCCTAGGACGCCGTGGGAGATGATGGGATCTATGGGAGTACTACCTCTCTCCGGATGAACAAGAGGAAGGGTGACGACGAAACGCGCAAACGGGGAATGCTAGAAGGTGATCTTTTATTGAGTACGTCTGTTCTTTCGAGTACGAGGACTCGATCTTGGTATACTGGGTGGACACGCTTCTTCTTCTTCCCGTCCGATGGCTCCTTCGAGTACGAGGAGACCCGATCTTGGTATACTTGGTGGATCGAACCTGCCCAGGTGTAACGGTACTGGAAACACGATGACTAGGTTGCAGGTTGGGTCGAACTCGATGGATGTCTCGTGGAAATCTAGAGAATCTGGTGCTAATGGATCGTGTCTCCTCTGCAATCGATGTAGCCAAAGAATGATATTGAAGAATCAGCAAAGTTGGTACTTTGCTGATTGTACTATATACTGTCTACAGGTATCCGTCTCCTCTCCTCAGTCCTACTGCAAGCGTCTACGTACATACTTGGACAGGTAAAAAACCGCTTTGAGCAAACCCAGTGGGGAAAATCTCGAAAGGGGAAAACCCGTCCCTACCTACTGCAGCACTGCCTCCAACTCCCGCTTTCCTCCATCCTAATCCGTCGAACTCGATAGAGTTCTCTCGATTTGTTGTTACCCCGTAACACCAGGTCTCCGAACGTGATGCGAGGAGGGTCAGGATGGATCCGACGTCGAGACACGGGGGTGTGTTCGTGAGTGGAAGGAATCTGACTCTAGACGTCGTTGGGATGGGACTGGGGTGAAAGAGAGTTTGGTCCTCGTTTTTCCGCTTCAAGCATTGACATTGACATTGTCTTTTGAACGTGTGATCGGTTTGGCATTGTCTTTGAACGTGTGATCGGTTCGACTTGATCGTTGACGTTTTTTGGTATTTGGGACGAGAACGGCTTGATGACCCATGTTGTTATCGTTGTCCGGGTGGATGGTGGTTTTCATTACGGTCCCCGTTTTTCCCCCCCCCCCCCCCCCGTTGTCATTCGTACCGTCACCGCCTCGCTGTGGATTATATCATGTATTGACAAAATAAGAACATCTTTCACCATCCCCGATCCCCCCTCCTTGTCATCCGTACCATCGTCGTCACCTCCACCACCGTTTGCCCCAACTTTCCCTCTTGGATCTTCTCGTTACCAACAATTTTCCCCATCCACCAACAACTCTTCATCTGCCCTCTTACCCAACCTGTCCGTTCACAGTGACATTTGCAATGATTCCCTCTTGCCAAGCTTTGCTTCAAAATTGTCTCTAGCCACCACCACCAACCATCCGTCGTTGCTTTCACCTGACAGTGTACGAAAAGCCTAATGACCTCCAACAGTTGTACTGCTTTATGATCCGTCCCGTTCCCATCTGCCGAAGAGGCCAGTGTGGAAGAATGGACCCAAAGGCCGAATCGAATCGATGATTTCGTAGATGGCTTTGATGTCAATATCAACAAGACTTTTTTCTCGCTTTTCTTTTTCTTTTTGCTTAGGACTCACGTCCTCTTCATCCCAAACCAAACAAACACTGACACTAGGGTCAGTTCCGACACGATATGATGTTCCAAAGATCAAAGATCAAAGATCAAAAATGTCAAGGTAAAAGTTTACAACCCTTGGGCCTTGGAACAGTTGATATGTCTGACGTTAGTTCAAAACATCTGTGTCGAAGGTCGTGTCGAGACAATGAGAAAGTTGATTCATATAGTTTGCTATGCAAACAAAAGGTGTCCGACGATGAAAATATGGAACACGAGATATGAGGGAGTTTCACCACATTCTGGCTCATGCTCCAGGTAGGAGAAAGCGAGGTCACCAACTCACATTATTCCCTCTCATCACCCTCTCTAAAAGCTTCCCTTCCCCAGTCCCATGTCCCATGTGCTGAGTCTGTAGAATGATGAGCTGCTAAGATCTTGTAAGGGTGGTAAATTGGTTTTATCAATGGCTGATAATCAGCATCAATCATTTCCCATTTTCCATTTTCCCAATTTCCTCCTCTATCTTTTTCCACCCCTTTACTATTCCAAAAAAAAGCGCAAACGGCTTGTACTTAGGACCTGATATTTACCTATATACACCCCCAAGGCGCAAAACGTAATACCAAATCAATATGTCTAACACTTCTTTATTCTCATACCATGATCAGAAATATGACCAAAAAATCCGATAGTCGATAAGCCCTTCGAGCGAAGTAAATTCATGTGTGAAAAACTCTTAGTGGGGATAAATTATAGATATAGTGAGGGAAAAGACGCAAAAACAGTGGGTGGGGATAAATTATAGAAAAGACGCAAAAACAGTTGAAGGATAGATAAAGACTCACTTTTCAAAAACATACGATAAGTCCTGGCAAGATCGAAGGAATCCCAGACATGGTCTCGTCGGATCGTCGTCCCCAGTGCTCGTGATCATTGTCAGAACCAGGACTCCATGTTTAAAAGATTCGACGCCGTTCACGTCGATCAAGACGCAAGCGTGGAGAGGGAAAACGACCGCACACTTGTCCGATTTGGACGAGATAGAAGAAAACGTTGTGCTCATCCTCTTCTCCATCGTTTTTCGCACATGGGACATGTTTGGTTCATGTTCAGCGGCGTTGAAGAGTGGACGAGAGGACCGGTTTCGGCTTTCTCGAGCAAGACCCCATGGTAGGTCTCGGGTGGGAGGGAACAGTCACCACTGGGTTTTTCGTTGGGCATGGGGGGTTGAGAAGGAGGATATGCTATTGATGTGTTTACGTAACTACCTTACCTTACAACCATGCTGTCGAAGGTATCGGAGATAACGTCGTATCTATCGGCGATAGGTCAATTTGGTTCCGCCGAAACTTATGCTACCGCTTTCTCTCTCTTTCTGCATTCTACTCTACATCCAACACATGCCCCTATTGTCTTGCTATTCATTTTGGTTGACAGACCTCGACACCTTCCTCCCACCTCATCACCAACTCATAACAGATCTCCTCAGAGTCAGTCGTCCCTCCCTCCCTCCCTCCCTCCCTCCCTCCCCCTGCTCTCTCTCCCACACAACCAGCTCACACGTAGTCTCACGGCGCTTTCGTCTCCCTAAGCAACCACCCCGGTCTCATAGCCGTCGTCCCTTCTCCTCGGCACTCCGTATCATCCCTTGTCGCTTCCGTCCCGTCTTCTTCTTCCCGCAGTAGACGCACCCCCCAGCCTCACCCGTAAAGCCACTCTCAACATGCAGCTAGCGAGGTTAAACGCTGAAATCCTAACGTCCGAGTTTCCTCGTGGTGTTGGTGCTCAGCCCGCCCCATCGATGATCAAGCGACGCCGGATCAGTGATTTTACTCCTACTCCTGGAAGGAGTCGCATGGTCCTGGGCGTAGGTAGTCCCAGGCCGGAGAAGGATTCCCGAAGGACAGTCAGCACGATGCTACGGGTTCCTGAAGAAAATGGTCTTGAAATGCTATCTGGCTTTGTCCATCCTCCGGTATGTGGAACCTCCATCACTCTTTCGTCCGGTTGCTTATCATGTACAGGATTCCCGAAGGACAGTCAGCACGATGCTACGGGTTCCTGAAGAAAATGGTCTTGAAATGCTATCTAGCTTTGTCCATCCTCCGGTATGTGGAACCTCCATCACTCTTTCGTCCGGTTGCTTATCATGTACAGTTTGAGCACGATCGTCAAGTCGCTACACTCAAGCGAACCCTTGCTGCCAGAGAGGCAGAACTTACTTCAGCTATCGAGCAAGCCAGGCAGATGTCCATTGCGAAAGTCGAAGCGGACCGGACGCTACAAGACCGAGCGAATCTGCTAGAAGAGACCGAGAATCGTATGCGAGACATGCACGGTCAAATGGAATCGACTCGAGCGGAACTAGTCAGCGTGATAAATGAGAAAGCAACCAGGATCGATGAACTCGAGAATACGGTTTTAGATCTACGCAAATCACGAGAAGATCTAGCCATAGACAATCAACAACGGCTGGATGAGGCTCAAGCGGAGATCGAGAGGCTTAAGAGGGAAGGAGAACATGACGACACATCGCGCAGAGCTTTGCTAGTGTCACGGCCGTCGAGCAACTTCTTCCTTATAGACCGACGGTCGACGAACCTCGGCTAACTTCACGCTTCTGAGTCGATGTCTCACCCAACCAGGAGGGCGCAGACGTCGAAAGGAGTGTAACTACGGCGTACTTCGGCGTAGTTACTCTAACTAAGGCTTTGTTCTATTGATGGCGATGTATCTCGATGTATAGCTATCTCTATTTGTCTTTTACTACTGACAACAATCAAGGATCGCTGAAGAAGTTCAGTGATCTGTAAACTATCTATACTACTCCTCTCTTCTCATAGAACGTCCCTCAACTCCTGCACTGCCTCACGCTCAGTCCTCTTCGTTCAACTTTGCCGTACCTCGCCGTATCCCCGATATCCTACTCCGCTCACCTCGACTAACTTCGCCTAACTTCCCCTGTTCTGCTCTCCCTCGGTTCCCTTCCCCTAACTTCGCCGTAGTTCTCCGCTAGGCGGGGTTATCGTGACAAATACCCTCTTGGTTCTCGTAACTTCGCCGTAGTTGGTCTCAGTGGTTCGAGTGGAGGTTGGTGGTGGTGAAAAGGAAGGTCGGTGATGGTGAAAGGAGGGTCGGTGATGGTGGTTGTCAGGGATGTTACGACGTAGTTCGTGACAGTCGCCCCCTCCTTAGGCGCGAACGTCCTCGTGAGCTTTGTATGCATGTAATGAAGAAAAGGACACTCAGCAGGTTACAGGAAACACAATTGGTCATATAACAGTTGTTGGTAGATGATACCATGGTTCGTTGTTAAACGGACAGTAAACTTCGTCGAAGTTCATCGTGGTTGCTTGTTGTTACCCTGTGGTAGTTACCTTGTAAGTGAGACAGAGGATTTGGGGTACAACAAACCTCGTCGACGTTCGTCAGCGTATCCCTAACTTATATGAATGTGAGACACGTAGCGTGGGAATTTTGATCGTCGTCATGGTGTTTGTTGTTGCTGAGACACCTTGTTATGCGAAGTTACCAGCGCCCTGACGACGAGTAGCCATGTCAGTTATACTAAATACTCAGTACTTCGGCCCACTTCTTCTTCTTTCCCAGGACTAATCCTAAATCGTACTATCATCGTCTATTGATTTCCAGTCTTTACCTTACCAAACATATCAATTTGATATATTTCAACAAAATGTCTTCTCGTCCGGAGCTCAATGCCCATAAATTTTTTGCAGATCGCTTCGCCGCTGTCCGTAAGTCTACTTGTACTCTCTATAAGCTACTTCTGTCGCTGATTGTCTTAGTCGCTCAGCAGGGGAACTCTCCCCGCCAAGTGTCGTCTATGGGCTTTGGAGCCTTAGCCATCACCGATGGCTCGCCTTCTGCTGCTGCAGCTTCCGCTGCAGTTCCTTCTGCCCCCGCGTCCCCTGCTGCGGTTACGACCCCTCTCTCCTCTGGCCAACAGGAGGTCAGACCTGCTCCTGTTGGCCCTTTGCAAGCTTCGGGTCAGTCCGCTACTGTGGTGGAAATCGACGATGATGATGAAGAGATGGATGGTGATGAGGAGGTGGTTGGTGTTCGTCGTGGTGCAGAGACGGGTGTGTTGGTTGATGATGGTGAGACGGGTGGTGCAGATGACGATGATGAGATGGGTGAGGTCGATGAAGATGAGGAAATCCTCAGTGTTGATCTCGGTGATCCGGCGCTGTTTGAGGATAGAGAAACTTGGGTGTCGGAGTTGGAAAAGTTAAGCCGTATGTCCTCTTGTCATATACCCTGCTCGTAAGTGCTGACATGTAGCTGTTCGTGATAATGAGGGGTCTCCCGAATTCCGCGTACGGCTCCAGACTTCTTTCGGGAAGAAACGGGTTGCGTATCAGGAGAAGATGGATGCTTTGGCTGAGATTAAAGCCGAGAAACGTCGCCGTTCCCCTTCCGCCCACGACGAAGTAACCCCTCCTTCGGCGAAACGGGTCAAAGAGACCCCTCGAGCCTCTACAGGACAGGCTGAATTGTTTCCCTCCCCTTCCCACGAGCCAGGGAGTGCTCGCAAGGCATCGTTGCGAGAACAGGATAGGCTATGGAAGTTGTTTATCGATGAAAGGGAGCGATGGGAGGTCGCCAGTATCGATGAGTCGTGTGATAGATGTCGGTAGGTTCCTTCCCTAGAAGTTTATACATCTGCTGATCAGTAGCCGTGAAATTATCACGTATGGGAGAGCGAAATGGCCGTGTCTACGACCGGTCAAACCTCATAATCGCGGGTCCCGTTGTGCTTCTTGCACTTCTGGCCCCTGCTCGTTCTGTCCCCCCAACACCGCTCGGGATATTCCTCCTAGACCTTCTGCTCCCCTCGGTCCCCCCTACACTCCGTCCGCCGCTGTTCGCCGCCGTCTCCCCACAGCCCAAGACGGAAACTATCCTTCGCGCTCTCCTTCGGCGAACTTCTCCTCTCCTGGCCCCACCTCGCCGTCACCCGTCGTCCGTCGCCCGCCTAACTCTCCCGTGGCCGGACCGTCTCGTCTCCCTGCTACCCCTTCGGCAGGTTCGTCTCGTCGCGCGCCTCGCCGTGCTCCTTCCGCCTCCCTCCAGCCCTCGACACCTATGGCTGGCCCATCTCGTCTCCCGGCTACCCCTTCTGCCGGTCCGTCTCGTCCCACCAGGAGCCGTCCTACTCCTGTGTCAACTCAAGAGGAGTCTCCTCTAAGTCTCCCTCCTGCCCTTGGGACCCGAAGCCGTCAACCATCTGTTCCTCCTGCTTCTGGGCTTTCAACTCCTGCCCCTCCCGTGAAAACTCCTCCGAAATCTTCGAAAGGGAAAGGCAAGAAGAAGAAAGCTGTTCAGTTCGAACCGGCTGTGGTGGAAAACGAAAGTACTCAGCTACCAGAGGAAATCCCTCCTTCCCTCGACCACCCCACTATCGCTCTCGATCCTCGGATACCAGAGGAGGACAAACAGCTAGCCACCTTCCGTTCCGTCATTATTGGTTTAACCACTCAATTACAAGCCAATAGACGAGATACGGCGAAGCTCGTCGAATATTGCGTGAAGTTGGTCTCCGCGATGAATACTCTCTCTCGGACAATGGCAACCCTTGTGAACTCCTCCGACATAGGGCCATTAGGGCGAACTGAGTTAGCTAGAGTCTCCCGAGAGCTCACAACGGACATGAGCGACTTCTACCGCAACCTCTTTGACTCTCCCTACCTCCTGAACCCCACTGAGTATATGCTCCCCCCTACACTGGACTGGTTAAAACCATCTCAACCAGCTCGACTCAGTTCTCAGGATGGTGCTTTCCTCGATATCCTAACTCTTCCCGCAGACTGCCTTAGGGCACTTCGTCAGTTGTGGAAATCACCTAGTCTGAGTCTCGCTCGTGATCCTGCTCTCCACTCCGCTCACATTCTCGCCTTTAACACAGCATGGAAGGAGACTCGAGCCCTCCGACGGACGGTGGCACCGAAGGTTACTGAGAGTAGTTCTGGGGGTGGTCCTGCACCGGGGAACGAGGAACAGGGAGGAAGTTTGCAGCAGTGAGTTGTACTTAGCTAATGTTGTACCAGTTGTATGAATTACTTCCTCGTTCGTGATCTTACCCCTCGTCCTTTCATCAGCTTATCCGGGTGAAGTTCGTGGAACTTCGCCAATATGTCATTAGCTCCGTCCACATTCTCTACTGGTTCCCATGATACTGCGTCGTCAGAGCCCTCGTAGCCTAACCATTCTACTAGATACTCTAACTTTCCTGACCTCTTATTTACTCTCGAGTCCACAATATCCTTTACTTCCCATGATTCTCCTATGTTATCTACTTCCACTGGGCCAGGTGGTTCAGCTTGCTGACCAGGAAATATTGGAGGGTGATAGGGGCGAAGCAAGGAGACATGGAATACATCATGGATACCTGCCATCGTTCCTGGTAACTCTAATTTACAAGCATGAGAACCTACCTGCCGTACTACCTTGTACGGCCCACTTTGCTTCACATCTAACTTCTTCATTGGTCTTTTAGTCTTGATGTTTTCCAATGACAGCATCACTAATTCACCTTCCACGAAGTTCGGCGTAGTTCGGTGTTTCCTATTGTACCCTTCGGCGTACTTCTCATTAGCCCTCTCAATCCCCTCAATACATTCTTTATGTATCTCGGTCAGGTCCTTCACTACCATTGTAGCAGCGGGTACTTCGACCTCGCTAGCCTTGATCTCTTCAGCCCAACGGGGATGGTATCCATAGTTTGCATAAAATGGTGTTTTGTTTATCGCAGAATGGTGGGTGTTGTTATAAGCGAAGCTCGCTCGAGCAAGCAGCTTTGACCAGTCGTTTTGCTGATAAGAAGTGAAGATTCTAAGGTATAGTTCAAGGGATTGATTTGTTCGTTCAGTCTGTCCATCAGTCTGTGGATGATACGCCGTAGAGAGATGTAGTCTTATCCCGAGACTATCGGTCAAGTTCTTCCAAAACTTCGAGGTAAACTTCGATCCCCTGTCCGACACTATGTTCTCCGGTAACCCATGCTGAGCCACCACATAGTCCATTATCAGCTCTGATAGCCCAGCTGCGGTCAACTTCGTCGTAGTTGGGATAAAAACCGCCCATTTGGTCAATCGGTCCACTACTACCAGTATCGAATTATACCCATGGGAATTCGGGAGTTCTTCAATAAAATCCATCGAGATACTGGACCAAGGTTTCGTAGCCACCTCCAGCGGTTTAAGCTCTCCATGAGGTTTCTGCTGTTAGTCTTTGCTCTCTGACATACCGCGCATCCAGCAACATAATCTTCGACATCCTTCCTTACTCCAACCCAGACATAATCCCTCAGGACTAGTTCAAGGGTTTTCGCTGAGCCTGGATGGCCAGCCAAGGGTGAATCGTGTCGCATCTTCATGACCTTCAGTCGAGCATCGGCGTAGTTCGGCACGTATGTGCGGTTGTCGAATGTGAGGAAACCCCTTGGGGTCCATCCGCCACGAAGTATTAAGGGAGATCGCGAACTACGACGTAGTTCGGTTATCGATGCTGGTTCCTGTACATTATCGTGACACGTCGGATGAGAACACTCAGCGCAGATAACTCCTAATAGCTCTCCTCTAACTTCCTCC